ACTGGGCTGGCTCTGTGGGCTTCTGGGGGTGGAAGCTCTCCTGCAGCCCCCCAATTGGCCCCTCTCCGCAGATGGCAGCCTGCGTCAAGTGCAACCGGGCTGATGGCTGAGTGGTGTGATGTGTCCAGTGTGGGTAGTCCGGGCAGTCCAAGCCAGGACTGCTTTGCAAGCGGGGCACCCCTGAGAACTGTCTGTCCGGGGTGGGGGTCGGGACCCTTTAAGCACAGCCCTCGGCTAGCCTGAGAAAGCATCTCCACGCTCTTAAGTTCTTCTCTGATGCCCTGCCGGCACTGCTTCCGGCCATCCTTAAGCCCGGTTCAGGGTCCACTTAATGTGGACATGCTAGTTCGAATTAGCAAAACGCTAATTCGAACTAGTTTTTTAGTCTGGATCCGTTAGTTTGAATTAGCTTAGCTTGAATTAACTAATTCGAACTAAGTTAGTTCGAATTAACGTTGTAGTGTAGACATACCCAAAGAGATTCACCGTCAGATAAACATTCTGGAACTCATAGCTATTTGTTTAGCATGTAAAGCATTTCTTCCTATACTATGGACTAGCAGTTGAGGAAATGACAGACAACACAGCAGAAATGTTTTCTATATCAAATAGGAAGGAATACAATTATGCTTCCTTTGCTAAGCATGTTCATTTCTGGAACTGGTGCATTCAATAACAGATTGTGCCAAGTAATTCTGCTTCTACCACAGTCGTAGAATGCCCCATTGAATCAGATTGCCTGCCCTCTCATTTGCAAATTGCCTGCTAAGAATTTGATCCTGCCAATCATTTTCTGCAGGTGGGGATAGTCAGCTGAAAATGTATTTGCTTCATATTAGATCAAAAAATAACAAACATTCTGTTTGAGAGTGGGAGATTTGGGGAAAGGCAGAATTCATACTCCTTGTCAGATGATTTCCTTATCTCATGAACTCTGAGAATAAAGTTTACATATTCACTAATTATGTAAGTGAGGTAATATCTTTTATTGGACCAACTTCTGTTGGTGAGAAGAAAGAAGCTTAAAAAAAGCAGTGACACTGATTTATTTTTCCTGTCTGAAGAAGAGGTCTTTGGAAGCTCGAAAGCTTGTCTTACCAATGGAAATGGGTCCAATAAAAGATACAACCTTACACACTTTGTTGCTCTCCATCATTGAAAGAAACTGTTTAACTGAAGTCCAGAATATTTTTATGCATAGCAGAAAGTACTCTACCAGATTGACCTTTGCACCTACATTGAAGATGTTTTTTATTTGGGCAACACTGTGCCACTTGTCTCCCTTAAAAGTTCCAATTCAGACAGAGTTCAGTGGAGCATGTTTAGGCATGTGTTGCATTTTGTTGAAAGTCTTGACACTGTATTGTTATGTCCTTTATTTATGTATTGGTCAATGGCCATAATACCAGCCTTTCATTTCAAGATGGTCTTATTATTATCCTTGGAATATGTAGGTCTGGATCTTCATAGATCACATTGATGCCAAACATTAGTAAACTTTTGTTATACTTTTAGCCAGGAGCATTCTAAATTTTGTGTAAATTTTCACAGAATACTTGAAGATTACCCTGGCATTTCTCCATAACTCAGATCATTTCTGTTTTTTTGAAAATAAAATGAAAATGTACATGCTTCATTTAAATCATTGTTCTGGGGTGGGGCTGGGAATGAGGGGTTCAGTATGCAGGCTGCCCCAGGAAGTGAGAACTACCCAAGACCTCGCTCAGCACATCACTTTGGGGCCAGGCGAGAAGCACTTCTCCATGGCTGCTGCAGTGGCAGCAGGTACAGCCAGGGGAGGGTGCATGTCTCCCAGCTGTGGCAGGTCCAGGTTTGTCTGCCCTCTACTCTTCCCAATCAGAGTAAGGAATGCAGCAAACTCTGCAATTCCCTTCACTTCTTGATGAAGGGGAACAGCCAGCAATGTTTCAGTATGAACTGGGTGTGTGGAAGCTTCAGCCCTCCCCCGCCCCCAACTACACCTGAGGAGGTAGGAAACTTGGCACTGGTACGGTCCCACAGGGGGGAGGAGGAGAAGTGTCCAGCCAGCCCCTTCCATTTGCCTAGTGATCCCATTTTTCCTAACACAACCGAATTATTACTGTGCTTTAAGTTTATGATAAGAGAAAACTGTTTACCAAATTTGGCAGTTCTAGCTCTTACCATAGGAGGAATTCTTGAATAGATTGATGGGCAGACATACAGACAGACTCTCAAATATATAGTAGATACTGAGTATCTCTGGTTCTACTTCATGATCTTTACCTGTCACTTGCAATGACAAGCATGATAAGCAATCTTCACACACATGTGGCATGTGGCACAGGAGTTCTTGTTATCTTCACACACATGTTAACATTAACAGCAAGGGAGAAGAAAACAAGCCAGACTAGAGAAAGAACTGGTAAAAGAATATTCAGGTAAGTTAGATACATTCAAGTTATCAGGGCCCGACAAAATTAATCCTAGGGCATGTAAGGAATTAAGAAAGGAATCCTGGAATTTTTAGGGGTCATCTTCAAGAACTCGAGGATGAGTGAGGTCCCAGAGGACTGGAGAAGAGCAATTGTATTACCTATGGGTATGTCTACACTAGCCCCTAGTTCGAACTAGGGAGGCTAATATAGGCATTCGAAGTTGCAAATGAAGCCCAGGATTTAAATATCCCGGGCTTTATTTGCATGTTCCTGTCCAGTCGCCATTTTTGAATGCCACTAGTCCGAACTAACTGCCCACGGCTACACGTGACAGTCAAACGTTAATTCGAACAAAGTCCTTAGTTCAAATTAACTGTTACTCCTCGTGGAGTATGCCAGAAAAGATAACAGAGCAAATAATTGAGGAATCTATTTGCAAACATCTTGAAGATAATAAAGTGATAAGTAACTGTCACAATGGATTTGTCAAGAATAAATCATGTCAAACCAATCAGATAGCTTTCTTTGACACGGTAACAACAAGTCTTGCAGATAAGGTGGAAATGGTAGTTGTGGTAAATGTAAACTTAAGCAAGGCATTTGATACAGTCTTGCATTATCTTTTCATTAATAAACTGGAAAGTGGTATTCTAAAGTTTGCAGATGATACCAAGCTGGGTGAGTTTGCAGGTGCTTTAGAGGATAGGATTAAAATTCAACATGATTTGGATAAATTGGAGATATGGTCTGAGATAATTAGGATGATATTCAATAAGGAGAAATGCAAAGTACTCCACTTAGGAAGGAACAGTCAGTTGCACACATACAAAATTGGAAATGACTGCATAGGAAGGTTACTATTGAAAGGGACCTAATGGTCATGGTGGACCACAAGTTAAATATGAGGGAACAGTGTAACACTGTTGCAAAAAAAGCAATAATTCTGAGATGTATTAGCAGGATTATTGTAAGCAAGACACAGGAAGCAATTTTGGTGTTCAGGCCTTAGCGGGAGTGTAGTATCTAATTCTGGGCTCTACATTTCAGGACAGATGTGAACAAATTGGAGAAAAGGACCAATAAAAGATTAAAGGTTTAGAAAACATGGCCTATGAGGGAAGATTGAAGGAACTGAGTTTGTTTAGTCTAGAAAAGAGAAGACTCAGAAGGAATGTAACAGCTTTCAAATACCTACAAGGTTGTTACAAGGAGGATGAAAAAATAATCCGTGTAATTCATGATAGGACAAGAAGCAATGGGCTTGAATTGTAGGTAGGAAAATTTAGGTTGGACATTAGGAAAATCTTTCTCTTAGGGCGGCTAAGCACCATCGTTTTGTGTGTATAGTAGGGATTATTTTTTCTAATATGCATTACTTTGCACTTGTCAGCATTAAATTTCATCTGCCATTTTGTCATCTATTTACTCAGTTTAGTGACTTCTCTTTGTAACTCTTTGCATTCAGCTTCAGACTTAGTCATCTTGAGTAGTTTTGTATTATCTGCAATGCCACCTGGCCATCCCTTTTTTCCAGATCGTGTTAACATGTTGTCCAGTACCATATTCTTGGAATATCCCACTATATACCTCTCTACACTGTGAAAAGTCACCATACCATTTTTTTCCTGTCCTTCAACCAGTTACTGATCCATGAGAGGATCTTCCCTTTTATCCCATGACTAAGCAGTTTGCACTTTAGTTCAGAGTCTTTGGTTAAGGAGTTACCAAAGTTTTTCTGAAAGTCCAATTACACTATATTGACTTGATAACCTTTATCCACATGTTTATTGACACCCTCAAAGAATTCCAGTAGACAACGACGCATGATTTCCCTTTACAAAAAACATACTGACTTTTCCCCATATACATGATTCTTGATGTGAGTGATGATAATTTACTATATTAGGCTTACCACCTATAATTGCCAGGATCAACTCTGCAGCCTTTTTTAAAAAATAAGCTTTTTATTAGCTACCTTCAAATATCTGGTACAGAGGCTGATTTAAACAATAGGTTACATAGTAAAGATGATATTCATATTTGAGTTCCTTCAGACTCTTGAGTGAATACCATCTGGCCTTGACTTCTTATTATTTAATTTTATAATTTGTTCCAAAACCACCTCAACTGACATTTCAATCTGAGACAGCTCCTCAGATTTGTCACTGTCTTCAGTCTTCACTGGTAGATAACCTATGAACTAACTTGGGTTAGGTCGATTTGGGGAAATGTTACAACAAGCTGATGAACATGCTGGCTGTGTCTACATTGGCACCCCTTTCCGGAAAAGGGATACTAATGAGACCAGTCGGAATTGCAAATGCCGCAGGGGATTTAAATATCCCCCGCGGCATTTGCATGAACATGGCTGCCGCTTTTTTCCAGCTCTGGGTTTTGCCAGAGAAAAGTGCCAGTCTAGACGGGATCTTGCGGAAAATAAGCCCTTGAAAGTAAGAATAAGGGATCTTGCGGAAAAGCGCTTATTTTCTGCAAGATCCTGTCTAGACTGGCGCTTTTCTCTGGCAAAACCCCGAGCCGGAAAAAAGTGGCAGGTACACTGGCGCTTTTCTCCGGCAAAACCTCGAGCCGGAAAAAAGTGGCAGGCATGTTCATGCAAATGCCGCGGGGGATATTTAAATCCCCCGCGGCATTTGCAATTCTGACTGGTCTCATTAGCATCCCTTTTCCGGAAAGGGGTGTCAATGTAGACACAGCCGCTATGTTTTAGGTAAAGAATACTAATCCACATACAATATTAATAGGTATGTTTTATCCATCAGCCACTAGTAGTAAGAGATACACTTTCAGTTATGTGAAAGAGCAAAAAATGATTAATCACTGGTGTACCAGATTATTCCACAGAGGGTAGGAAAGACAGATATTCTAGGGGATGTACGTGGAGGAGAAAATGGGAAGCAGAAGAGCTGGGGAAACTGAGTAATGTGTGCACAAGAATGTCAGGGTACCTCAAGAGGGTAAGAATCCGGCTCATATTTGTTCATGCATGTGACTGAACAGAGTAGGAAACTGGGGTATATGCTTTGGTTTCTTTGTATTGTGCTATAGAGAAGAAAGCAACTGCAAAGCCATTTTTATTTTATTTAATTTTCCATTGTCTTAATTGTCTGACAACTTAACTTTATTTTCTGTGAGTCTACAGGTTATGGTATGAAAATCCTGGTGTATTCAGTCCATCTCAGCTGACTCAGATCAAGCAAACATCTCTTGCTAGAATTTTGTGCAACAATGCTGACAATATAACTAGAGTGCAACGTGATGTATTCAAGGTGGCCGAATTCCCACATGGTTACAGTAGCTGTGAAGAAATTCCTAAGCTGGACCTCAGGATGTGGCAGGATTGCTGTGAAGGTCTGTATACAGGAAGAGTATTGGGAGAAGAAACATTGTTTCTGGCTACATTTTAAGGGCCTTTTTGGAAGATATTTTAAGAAATTTTAGTTACTATTCAACTGTAACATAAGTTGAATTACACAGATTGCTAATGTGCTTACAAAACTAAATTTGAAATGTGCAGAAGTATAATTTCACTTCCCATATCAGTGAAGGAATCTGGTCAGGAGATTGATTTAGCTACTGTAACTCTAAGTTTTTGTATTAGCAGTTTCCTTATGAAAACACTGAAACTTTACTATTTTTACTAAATGACATTAAAATGTTTAGCAAATTGAGTTGATTGAAATTTAGAATGTAAGAATCAACATTTGTATGTACTAAGTCTTCCATGTATTTATTGTTGTAACTGTGTAAGTAGGAAGCATCTGTTTTTGTTATCCTTCCTGTTTTGTTCAGCACAAAATACTTTTCCACATGGAAATCAGAGGAGTAGCCATTTAGTTACCAAAAGCTGTTACTTATTAGATTTGAACAAAGACCCATTTTTTTCGGATGCAAAGTTGTTCTCTTCTATAACAACAAAACCAGATTACCTCGGAAGTTTGTTTGATCATATAGTAGAAGTACTGATTTATCGTTGTCAGGAAACTAGAGTTTCAATGAAACACTGAGGTTTTTCTTTCTACTTTCTTAACATTCTAACCTGCAGTTTGGGATTGTCACGGGCCCCAGGACCTAGTTATTCTGCAAAGAGAACTGTTTGAGCAACGAGCTGTTGAAAATCACCTTCAGATATTCCAAAAAAGCTACCTCTGCTGCTTTTTTTTAAGAATCTTAACAGTTACCCTATGTTGCAAGTAGTCAACTAAGGCTCAGGAAAAATGCTATCAATTCACAGCTCTGCCACATACTTCCTGGCTACGTCTACACTGGCCCCTTCTCCGGAAGAGGCATGCTAATTTCAAACTTTGGAATAGGGAACTCCGCGGGGGATTTAAATATCCCCCGCGGGATTTAAATAAACATGTCCGCCGCTTTTTTCCCGGCTTGGGGAAAAGCCAGAAAAAAGCATCTAGACTGGCGCGATCCCTAGACTAAACAAACTCAGTTCCTTCAATCTTCCCTCATAGGCCATGTTTTCTAAACCTTTAATCTTTTATTGGTCCTTTTCTCCAATTTGTTCACATCTGTCCTGAAATGTAGAGCCCAGAATTAGATACTACACTCCCGCTAAGGCCTGAACACCAAAATTGCTTCCTGTGTCTTGCTTACAATAATCCTGCTAATACATCTCAGAATGATTGCTTTTTTTGCAACAGTGTTACACTGTTCCCTCATATTTAACTTGTGGTCCACCATGACCATTAGGTCCCTTTCAATAGGGGATGCAATATACTGTTCTGCAGCAGCTAGACTGGGGTGTGTGAATGTTTTTCTTCTGATATTTACATTTTATGTCAAACTTCAAAACAGACAGATAAAAAGTCAACCAAGCAGAAACATCTTCATTGAACATCCCATTTTACAAATTAAGAATGGCAAAGTTCTATTTCAATAGTCTGACAGCCTTGGATTCTGATGCCCTAATTATCCTCAGAACGACAGCACATGGCTATTTCCTACCTTATGTGACTCAGCCAAGAGGTGAAGATCCCTGTTCTCATTTAGATGATGGTTCAGTATAAAGCCATCTCAAACTGCAGTCATTCTTCTGAGACTCCTCCCGTCCCCGTCCCCGTTCCCCCCCGAGGAACGGTTTATGTTCTCAGGTGCTCCTGATGGGCACCTTAATCCCATCAATAGCATTGTCAGTTAGGAAACAAGACCTGCTTTGCACAAAATCATATGGACTGTCATTAATTATATTTTGGTGCTTTAGTTTTTTATTGACTGAATTGTTATAAAACATAACTGGCCTATAATTATGTGGGTCATCCTAGTTGCCCTTTTGAGAAGTGTCACAGTAGCATTCTTAATTCAAGAAGAGCCAAGAGGCTCTTGTTCTTCGACTTCAAAACCTATGCAGCTAGTATCCATTATACTTTGGGTATTAGATTTAAGTGCTGCAAAGTACTTTCTGAAAAGCAACTTGTGCCCCTTCCTGTTCTACATCTTTTATGTTCACTGTACCCTCCCCCCGGCTGATATTGTAGTCCCTCCCCTCTCCAGTGCAGGCAGAGGAGCAGGTACTGCCACCCAACACCTGTGATCACACACCCCTTTCATACCTCGATCAGCTCCCTGCACCCTCTGCCATTGGTGCCCTCCTTCCTTGCTTGCAGCTTAGCGGGGATTAGTAGCCAATGCACTCCAATCCCACTCCCTCTCTGAAACTCCGTGGACAAGGGGCCGCTCCGTATTATGCCAGAGCAGCTTCTGTCTGCAGAGAGCTCAGACCACCTGTTTCTTCTAATTCCACGATCTTTTTAATAGAGAGAAGCTCTGCAGAATCTATCTTTCATATATCTCTGTTGTTTATGTTAAACCAATAGAAATAAAAACTATTTTAAAAATTGTCATTGAATAGACGCAGTGAGATGATCTGATGAATGCCAATTTGTTTAGCACCTTTTCAGAATAGAATTGCACTACAAACTAAATTATAGGTATCATGAAGCAGGTATAGGTCTGAATGGTACAATGAAGTGTAGATCTGATAATTTATGGAAGAGATGAACATTGTTAAAGGAAAAACAATTTGTACCAGTAGGTGGCTATTTAAAAAAAAATAATCACAAGACTAAATTAAGGGAAAGAAAAAAAATCTTCAATAAAAAGCAATTTTGGAGAAGATAAGATTTAATTCTAAAGTTTTTAAAAAGTTTATTTTGCTAGTTTATTATTTACAGTTATTATTGTCATAAAGCTCTCTCTCTCTTTCTCTCTCTCTCTCTCTATATATATATATTTATATTTATACTTATATTAATCTTTTATTTCAGATTGTAGAACTAGAGGGCAGTTTAATGCATTTTCATATCACTTCCGAGGAAGACGATCTCTTGATTATAGCTTTCAGGAGGACAAACCCTTAAAGAAAATGAAAATGCTCAAAACAGTGAGGTAAGGATTTGGTACTAAGGAATGAAGAAAGTTTTTTCTTTTGTTTTACTTGGTTTGATTTTGTGTAAGAGAAAGGAAAATTGAATAATTTTCTGCAAATGCACATTAGAGTTTTGCAGTCTCCAGTCGATCAGCATGGGATTGATGCCTTTCCCTTTGACATTTCTAAATATTCAAAAGCAAAATTGAATACTACAAGTTGTCAACTTTAGTTCTCCTTTCTACTTTTGTTTACCTTCCAGCTCTAATTTTTGTAAGACATTCAGCATATGAAAAAATAACACTTATACCCCCAGTTCTGTTTATTTTCCTCAGAAGAAATTTGAAATGTAAAGAAAAAAGCAATATAAAATCTGGGTTGTTCTTCGAGAAATTGTTCATGTACATTCCATGTAGGTGTGTGCATGTGTCATCTAAAAATTTTCCCCTAGCAGTACCCTTTGGGCCAGCAGAGGAGCTCGGTGGAGTGGCTAGTGTACCCCTGCTGGCCCTCTACCCCCTCAGTTCCTTCTTACCGCTTGTGATGTCAAGCTCTGTAAGTGCCTCTTAGCAGGTCTCGCCTATTGTTTAGCTAGTTATATTAAAACTCCAATAATCCGGCACCCAATTGTCCGGCACTCCTGATAGTCCGGCATCAAAATGGCAAGTGCTCCTGACGGAACCAGGACAGAACCCAGAACTGCTCAGGTCAGCCGCTCTCACGTGGGTTACAGCAGGGAGGGGAGGTGTTTGGCTCTGGGGAAGGGGAGGGGAGGAGAGGGAAGGGGGATTGAGTGACGCACAGCGTCCCAGCCAGCTCATTGAAAAGCCGGCTGCTCAGTGCATGTGCTCCAGCGCCTGGAGGGAGACGTGTGGCTGTACTAAGCATAAGGTTGGTGGGGGAGGGGGGGAGTGGGATCGGGTTACAGCAGGGAGGAGAAGTGTTTGGCTCCGGGGGAGGGGGATTGGGTTAAAGCAGGGAGGGAAGGTGTTTGGCTTCGGGGAAGAGGAAGAGGGAGGGAAGGAGGATTAGGTTACCCACAGCATCCCGGCCAGCTCATTGAAAAGCTGGCCACTTAGCACACGTGCCCCAGTGCCTGAAGGGAGACATGCGTCTATACCGGCGGCTCCAAGACCCGAGCATAAGGTTGGAGGGGTGGGAGGGTGATTGGGTTGAGAGTGTGCAGTACCTCCTGATACTCCGGCATATCCGATAATTTGGCACCACCTAGGTCCCAAAGGTGCCAGATTATCGAAAGTTTACTGTATTTTGGGTCTGTACATCCTAAACTCAAAACTTAGGTCATCTGAAGAAGAGGGCTATGCCCACAAAAGTTCATGATACCATCTACATGTTTTGTTAGTCTATAAAGTGCTAACTGACCATTTGTTGTTTTCTAAGTTTAAAGTTTCACAGTTCATTGTTCTTATCTAAGTTGTTAATAGTTGTTAAGTGTTGTACAGAGGATACATCTAAACTACGCTCCTCTATCGGCAGAGGGATGTAAATTAGATGTATCGAAAGTGCAAATGAAGCCAAGATTTAAATATCCCGTGTTTCATTTACATAATGGTGGCTGCCGCTTATTTTCTAAACGGGGCTTTTCGAAAAAAAAATGGCAGTTTAGACAGGGCATTTTTGACAAATGCCCTGTTTCAAAAGATCCTGTACTCCTCATTTTTTGATCTTTTGATCAAAGGATCTTTCGAAACGGGGCATTTCTGTCGAAAACATCCCTTCTAAACTGCCAGGAGGGGGGTTCAGAAAAGCCCCATTTTGGAAAAAAGCGGCAGTCGCCATTATGCAAATGAAGTGTGGGATATTTAAATCCCGGCTTCATTTGCACTTTTGATATGTCTAATTTACATCCCTCTGCCGACGGGGTGTAGTTTAGACGTAGCCTTAGTGTTGAAGTACTCAGGCACAGGGCTCATTTCATGTCCTCAGCATGTCCGGAAGGGCATGCCTGGGCCCCAAGTCTTCAAGCCCTGCAAGAAGTGCCAGAAGCCTATATCCTGTGGAGACCCTCTCTCAAGTGCCTCGGTGAAGCCCACCTGTCTGAGGCATGTAAGATCTGCAAGGGCTTAAAACCACATAACAATCAGAAAAGAGAGTCCCGCTTGAAGATCATCCTTAGGGAAGTGTCCCTGGGCCTGGAACCGACAACTGACCTGGGGCCGGCAACCCAGAGTGCACTGGCTTTGGTGCGGGATGCACCCAGCCACTCATGTGCCTCTCCAGTGCTGCATAGGCCTTGGCACCGGTCTCAGTCCCCAGAGCCCCAGAGGAAGAGGACACTTAGCAGGGGCAGGTCTCCTCAAGGTGCATTCCCTCCATGTGTCCTCAAGCAGGGCACGTGGCACAGTCGAGCATGGCACCCAAACCATCACAGTCAGGTTGGCACTGCTATAGCCCACGCTGAGACTCCAGCCTGGCGGGGGACTTTCTGGAGCTCTCTGGACACTTTTGAGGCATCAGAAGATTTGATTGAGCTAATCTCTTACCTGACCTCCACACCGGGCCCAGCCAAGGAGCGTGACCCCAAATGGCACCAACATTTGACCTTGGTTCCAGCCCCAGAAGTGAGAGGGCATCATCACCCCACCCAGGTACCATCTAGGTTGACCCCGGTGCTGGGTGTAGCACCACCCCCAGTCTTGGTACCCTTTGCACCTCCCACCCAGACCCATGCACCAGCTCCAGCACGGGCACTGGAGTCAGCATCAGTGCAGAGCCTTGATGCGACAACGTCCCTGGTACTGGGTCCTCTAGCCACTGGCCCCTCTTCATTGGGCAGTCCGACACCACCACTGGCTATGCCCCTCAACTCCTCCTCAGCATCGGGGGAAACTGGAGTCAAAGGCTCAGCATGCTCTAAATGGGAGGTCGCCAGCCATCACTGTCACTGCACTGCCCTGCTCAACCTTGGAGTATTCAACTGACTTGGAGGAAGAATCTGGCTGTCATCCAGGGCTCCAGGTCAAGGTTGCAGCACTGATACTACTCCTGTCACTGATCGCGGCAGCACAGCAACTCAGCACAATCTTGGCATCATCAGCAACAGCAGCCATGACTGTGCAGAAGTTCTGGCCACCACAACAGCATGCCCCAACTCAGTACCTCCTGGACCTAACATCCAGAGCCTGGGTGTGAACCCCTCTAGACCAGAGTCGGTTTTCTCGGGACCAAGAGACCCCCTCCTGGGACCCCATTTACTTGCTCCCTGACGTCAGGGCAGTTGCTCCCCTGGGGACAGGCCTCACCAGGACCCACTTCGGAGAGAGGGCCTACCACTGCTTAACCCTCTGTGGTGGCCTCCTCTGAAACCTGTAGGTGGTGGGCATGAAATGGTCCTCATCCTCTTTACCTAACGAGGCCTTTGGGGGACGGTCCCTCTATGCCCTCCATGGACTTGAGAGCCCATCAGGAGTTCCTCCACCATCTAGCCCAGAGTCTGGGAATTCAGGCAGAGAGAGTGATGAAGGTCATGAACATCCTCTGATAAACCCCAGACTCTATTCTGCTGACGGATAAGAAGGTCAAACAGAGGTACTTTGTACTGAAAGAGGGGAATGAGCACCTCTTCTCCCACCCACCTCTGGCATCCCTGGTCATCCTGGGATGTTAAATATCGGCTAATTGAATAGTCAAGTAACCTCATGAATTCTTATCAGTTAGTCAACTATTCTATAGTTCCCGGGGCTGGGCCGGCAGCCAGTGTGCTCCAGCCTCACTCCTGAAGAGCCCTCTGCCATTCTGCACTTCTGCTGCTGCATGGGGCAGCAGCATGGGGTGCCCGGTAGGAGCTGGTCTGCAAGGGGATCCAGTTTAAAAACCAGCTCCCCTCATGGACTGGCTACCTGTCACCCTGTGTTTCTGCCTCTGATAAAGAGACAGCAGCTTGGGTGGCAATAGCCCTTGTCTGGGGTGGGGATCTGAGCTACCGGAACCGACATGAGCCAGAACTGAGCCAGGCTGCCTGCCTGCCCAGCTCCTAATACACTTTAAATGAAGAGCCAAAGCAGGGGTAGGTCCTAGACCTGTTGCAAGCCAGGACTGAGCCTGGCTGCTGGCCAGCCTACTAAAAAATGTACTGGCAAGGGCAGGGGGAAATTTACTGGCAAGCACTTTTGCATATTGGTTAATCAGTTAATTGACTACACTTTACATTCCTACTTCCTGGGCAGAAAGGCCTATGCCTATGGGAGCCTCCAGCTTCGCATAGCGAACCAGCAGGTCCTCCTGAATCACTATGCATACAGCACACAGGCAGCCATGGACAAGTTTGCCAAGCTGGTCCCCAGGGAATCTGAGCCTGAATTTAGATCCCTGTTGGAAGAGGGCAGGGTGGCCCAGGACACAGCTGATGCAGTAGCTCTCACCATGGCCATGGGGTTGGTCTTGCACCACGTCTCTTGGCTGCAGGTAACTGGAGTGCCTCCCAAGTTCCAGACTACCATTCAGGACTTCCTGTTCCAGATGCCGTCTCTTTTCTCTGATTAGACTGGCCAATGTCTGCATGGCCTCAAAGATATCTGGGCCACCCTAAAGTTCCTTGATATCCATACACTGGCTACCCAGAGGCA